CATCATATATTTAATGGTCAATTGTCAATGGCTGTGCACTTGTATATTCGTTTCTATGCGCTTGAAATTGCTCCCGATCGGTCCCATTATATTCATGCTCTGCTATGATTGAGCAACCACATGTTGCTGTGGCAACCACGGTGTTGGCAAACGAAGGCACGCGACTGGAAAGCGAAGGGGTCGTGGGTCAAGATGGCAGAGAGATTCCAAGCCAGTCACTCGTCAATCTTCTTTATAAACAAAACACGTGCGTCTTTGACGGAAATAGTACAAAGGGTTCAACGTATACGTCAACGTATTTATAGAGAGAAGTCATGCGTAGAAGTCTTTTCCGTGCACGTTCTATTTGCAACTGGTTGTCCTCTTTATCGGTTGGAAGATAAAACTAATAATTTAGGCTATAAATAATTATTCTTTTCTCTTAGGAATCAGCAAGAATTATACGTAAACATAATCAGGATTCAACATACAACAAATGAATATTTAGGAGCTTGTAAGATTGCACGTGGTACTCAATTAAATTCTCATAGACCTTAACTTGAACATATTTTGGTTTTGCGTTGCTATGCGTCATTAGTTTACTATGCGTGTTGCCATCGTTGTTACGTCAGAAAGTTTTAAAAAAAAATTATAAATAAATTTTGTACACCTTTTCACATTTTAGTTCCCTTATAAAGCTGGTCCATTTATTGGGAATAAAAAATCTACTAGGACAAGGAACGATCGTTTTAAAATGTACGGTATGTATGCATACCTTGCAAACACAATTCATGCGCAAACGCAACGAACCCCGGGATTAATAGTTTATTGGGTTTTTTGTTTTTTTATCTGAGGATATTATTTATACCTAGACTGAGACCCATCACTAAGGCCTATTGCCTTTCAGGTACAATATCTGAATTTTATAGCTTTTTCAGTTCATCCGGGAACAACCGCAATGATTGATTGGATACCAATTCGCGCGTCAGTCGCGTGGATGCCAAAGGCCAAACTACCCATGCTTGGAAAATACATTTATTATAGTATATAAAAGTCTAATAAAAGTACGCTATTGCACTATTGTGTTTTAAAATAATGGGACTAGTAGTAGTGTTATATATGTTATATATATACAGGCCTATAATCAATATTCAATGTATATGTATATATATATGTATGTATATATATATGTATATATATGTATATATATATGTATGTATACATATATAAGGCGTTGAAACAAGAAATTATGGCAAGAGTCATGTGGACTATGTAACACTTGTTTATTTTCAATTTAAATAGGTGCTCTATAGTCCACATGACTCGTTGCTCTTATTTCAACGCCTTTTATATAATTTCAAGAACACACGTGGATTTACAATGATATATATATATATATATATATATATATATATTTCAAGAACACACGTGGATTTATGATAATATATATTTATTACATATATACATAATGATAATGATAGTCCCTAAATTATGCATAGTGTTGAAACAGGAGAGCTTCACAAGGCAGCGTCTCTAGTATATCTACTGGACCGGTACCGTAACTATTTGGGTCCCAGTCCGCTCCTGCGTTAATAGTATGCCTGCATAAGGACGTAAATTATACCATGGACATATTAATAAGGTAAATTATACCAGTTTTGTCCTTAGTGTAAGAGATGGATAATACTATTTAGTAATTATTGTGCAGAGATAACATGAGCTAACTAAGGAAAGTATATATATTAATTATGTAATGTCTTCTTATAACATCTTTAAAATAAAATTGTGGCATAGATACAAGTGTATTTGCAGCCATTTCTATGCAGGCTTTTGAATGTCACAGCATGGCCCTTTCCACTGCTATCTCTTACAGTAATTCACCGCAAAGGCAATGCAAACTATAACAGGCAGTAATAAGAGACAGGATTAGTACACTGTATCCTCATACAGTATGATAGACTACCTCATATGGTAGATAAACTATGCAAGTTCCCATGACTATTACTTTATTTGCCTTTTCCTTTACAGGAGCATTTCTTCAGTGCACAGGTGGACAGAGCAGCTATAACCAGGATAAGAATTTGAGCAGAACTAAGCCTTCCTCAAACCTAAAGAAGCAATGAATGCAAAAAGCCAAATCTGGACAGCTAAATTACACCATGGTACTGCACTGGGGGAATTTTTCAAGAAGTGCTAAGGTTCAAGGACTGGTGTAAAGCCTTGATTTCCAGGATTGTGAGCCATCCTTAGGTATGTTTCTTGTATTCATTTGTCATTTATCCAGCAGTGTGCACATGAGTTGATAATTATAATCAGACATACGAAGTATTGCACATTTAAATGCCTCACACCAAAGACCAAAAACTCACACATTGCTGCCCTACTCATCGTGCAATAATGTATAGTTCATACTAGCGCTATATAAATCTAACATATTATTTTTATTATTACTCATGGCCAGAATTTTGCAATATAAGAATTTAATTAATGCATAAGCAAAGATGATTACAGTACTTTATTCCTTTAAGTAACCTCAATGACCGTAAAGTAATCGACCATTCATAAGGCCTCATACATAAAACCAAATAACCATCAGAAAATGATTGCCTTCACACATAATCTAAATAATACATTTTTTTTTAAATACAGTAAATCTAGATTAATATCTTAGTGGAAAAATTGTGTAGACAATCAGGTTGTGTAGCAGTATAATTATACAAATGTTAGTTTGTAAGAAATACTGTGTGACTTTTGACTTCATTTTTCCTACTGTATATATATTTATATATATATATATTTTTTTTTTTTTTCACACACAAGAAATCAATGTATGCTTTCCATGTACTCCTCAACTTGCTGTCGTCCGATACCGATTCTATTTTGTTTCTGGTAGAAATAGAATCATAAATTATTGTTTACTTTAAAAGAATAAAACATTAATATACTGTATGATAAACCATTTTTATGACCGGACAACAACATTTACTACCATCTACATCTACTTCAATTTCAACTCAGATTTGTGTTTATTCTTTTTTTTCTTTAGGTTAAAAACCAAGGGAAGGATGCGGAGGCAGCAATTTCTGTTATACTTGGGGACGATGGATGATCCCCAGCAATTTTTTGTTATTTTGGATACTCACGCCATCTCTTGTTTGGATAACATCACATCTGCAGCTGATCGGCTTTTCTAGCTGCACTACATCCTTAACCTACATTATGTAAAAGCCCTTGAATTTTGTTATATATTCTTGGAAGTGCATGCATATAACATCAGTTTGCCTGGAGAAAAGATTCCAAATAAAGTAGCGGAACTAATTTCTAACCTGGCAGCACTAAAATTATAGAGATTAACAAATTATCTATCTCTGAATCTTGATGATTTAGACTTTATTATAAAAATCCTAATTTCATTTTTTATTTGTATATCTAGGAATAGTACACCTGATGTTGTCATCATAATTGATGAAAAGCAGCCACATTATTATTTTTTAATTTCCATATAAGCCATAGCCTACTTGCACCTAATGCTGAAACATACCTGTCAACATAATACAAGCTTGGGTATTCCAATTAAGTTATAACAAATAGCAATTTGAATATTGAA